AAAAAACGACACCACACTTCGCTGATTGCAAACGCATTATTCGCTGATGAGCTATTATGAATCTGACACCACGCACGTGCCGATGAGTAAGGGTACCGTATACCCAGGCTCTACTCCAGAATTCCATTGCGACTTACGTGGAGTGCAATGCATGCACAAGAATAAATCTGCCAAAAGTATTCCTCTGATATAACAACACGATGCCCTCATCCCAAAAGGAAGCCTGTAGTGTATGTAAATGTGTTTAAACTGTAATCGTGTGTGCATAATTTATAATCATAATATAATTTGTCCAGGGAAGACTCATAGAGGATATGTTTAACTCGTACGTTTTCGCAAAGCAATGTAATGATTAACTATGCATTTGTGGGTTATGCCACCTAATGTGTGGCAAAGAGGATGGCAATATTTGCTTCATGAAGATCTTCTACCACCCAACAGAGCCAAACGACTTATACTATCACGTAGTATTATTTCAGCCGCTAGCTTTAAGAATAATTCTCACAACCGGAATTAGCAACTTGGCTTTTCAGAAGGCTCTTCCATTGAGAAATGTGGCCACGATGTTACTTGCGGGAGGAAGCATGCACGCAAGGGGATGTCCCTCAAATATCTGCACATGGGTTCAATAATCCATGACTGTATTATATTAAACTGTCATAGGGACGTTTCCCCCATTTTCAGATTCATCCAAACAACATCTGAAAATCGGGCCTCCTAGCTGCGATATTTCTAATTATAAAAAAAACACATTTTGGTTTGGATGTAAACATGATAACGTAGGAGCTGACGTCTCATATAGCATCACTCCCATTATTTTAATTGTAAAAATATTAAATTGTTTATATTCAAATATGTTTTGATTCTGATAGATCTCTATATTTAGCATTAAAATATAATAATCAATATTTTAAGTTTATTTTACATGCTCTACATTATAGTGCATAAGCAATAAAGTATCTTACATTTGGTTACATTTAAATAAAAAGTACAAAATAAAATCTGAAACTGCTCAATAACAATTAGAAAATCTGACATCCAAAAAAATGAAATCCGCATCTCACACTACATGCAATCGATACACGGGAGATTAATTATGAGTGGGCCTGGCTGGGTCAATAGACGCCGCAGGGCACCACGGTAGCGAGATGTTAACTACCTCGCCTGGTATACAGGAGGTCGTGGGTTTGATCCTGAGCCCGACCCTGACGCTGTTGCTTTGTATTTGGAGTTTGCGCGTCTCTCTCTCCTCGTGGTCGCGTGGATTTTTCCCCGGGACCTCCGGTTTTTCCCTCCACATTTAGAATCACCGTCACGACGCGTTTCAAATATTTGGCTGCTGTAAATGTCCACGTGATAAGCCACTTCGTTGAGCTATCATTTTGTGGTCAGGTCACTTATTTTTTTTAAAAAACTGCTATAGCTCAGTGTGCCTTAATTGATAAAAGAAAAAATAGTTTAGTTTTTTTAGTTGAGTTTAGGTGTGAATATTAGAAATTTCGTAATCATTGAAAACGCACGCTCAGGGTCTGGCCGCAGGGATGTTGAGGCATCACGAGGCTCCGTGGACCCGTGGCCTCGAGGGCAGCAATGGCACTCACTGCCTTGGGAACAGGAATTAAAATGAATGGCTCACAGCAAGGAGGAGCGGTGGAGAATGTGGGCGTAGAATAACAGGCTTGAGCGGAGCCAAAACGACGAGAACACGCAATTTTACAATGCCGGATGCGAAAGAAATACTGCAGGGGCGATTCTGGAAACGAAATGTGTCCACAGATCGTTTTTTTGCGCCAATGAAACCGGTGCACAGGTGCGCTTCTTTGGCATTCGTAAATGCGTGGTTGCTGCGGAGACAGGAAACGCGTGATTGAAATAACTCAGGCGTGCAGCAAGACTGCACCGAAAACGTCAGTTGGCGTTATTTTATACTCGTTCTTTTTCATAAGTCGTGGAAAAATAAGACCGCACGTAGCAAAGGAATAAATTCATCATTGAAGTGAGTGAGTGAGAGAGGGAGGGGGGAGGGCCAGGCCCATCACCCGCTGTACGGTGAGCGTGCACTCTTCACTGACGAGGACTTCTTTCGCAAATTTGGCATCAATGTCACTAACGAAACAAAGAAAGTAAAACTAATAACAGGTCAATCGAAGTGTCCTGTGACGGAATCGTTTAGCGCGCTTGACTTGCAACACAGAAGTCGTCGGTTCGATTCAGTGGGTCGGGTTTCTTAAATCGCCGGGTCGCATGTGGTGGGGTGAAGTGTGGGTAAGCCCACCTTTTACAAGACGTCTGAGCAGCGTGGATGAGCAGGCCAATCAAATACCCTCTAGAGTGGCTCTTTAGAGCTCCCTCTCATGCAGGTCCTTCTGCCGACAGTGACCTGAGTCAGCAATTGGCGGGCTGCACCTTTATCTTTTGTATAGAGTATTCATCACGCTATAATACTAGATGACTCTAAACATTTTTTTTTTACCAGGTAAGGCCCCATTGAGTTATGTGGCTAATTTTCAGAAGCAACCTGGCCACAAATGATAGCTGAACGAAGTGGCTCATCATGTGGAAATGTATAGCAGCCAAATACTCTAAACGCGTGATGTTGATGCTAAATGTGGAGAGAAAACCCGGAGGTCCCGGAGATTAAATTCACGCGACCACGGGAAGAGAGACACGCAAATTCCAAATATACAGCAGGCGTCAAGGTCGGGATCGAACCCACAACCTCCTGTATACCAGGCGAGGTAATTAACATCTCGCCCTGTATATCCATCATATATACAGCCACACGTTTCATATTCGGCATCCACCGATAGGTTTTCCAAGTTACAGGAAAACATTTAAAACAATCCCATTGCTCAAATTAGATTTTGACTATGCTTATTTCTATTGGCGCCCCAGAGCCAGAAGTGGAAACTCTATACGCTTATGTCGTGCACCATTATTACTGTTGTCATGAATTAACCACTGCTGCACTGCAGCAGAGTAGTAATGCTATCGTGTCAACCGCTAGGCCCATGATATGATGATGATGATGATTGGCTGACAGCCTGAACTAGGATTAGAAACTCGCAACCCTGATCATGACTCAAGCACTCTGACCACAGCAGCACCAAGCCGGATTCCCACACCGCATTCATCCAATAAAATATGACGGCAAAATTGTAAAAGTAATAATGGCCATCGTTTACTCAGCACAGCCTCGCCGAGTCTCGATATTCTTCTTTAAGTCCTGCATTTTCTGGGATGTTTGGTCAATTATGTTTAGGAGTGTTAATGCTTCTGGGAGGATAAAGCGGAGAACCCAGAGATCACAAAGGGGATAGAGCTCAGAGTTCTGCACAGATGGCTCCATGAATCCACCTGTTGCACGGCCATCTCTTGGATACATCATAGCGCAAATTAATTCAATTGATAATAACAGTCCACACAGATGGGTTTGTGAACCGCACTTGCTGGGCACTGCCATTTCTGGCCACCTCAATGCCCGGCTGAATTCGGTGATATTCACAAACCTATGCGCGTTCCGCCAACCCAAACATTCCCAAGCACATTGATTGCGATCGTGAGCCACCACTCCAAATTCTTTCGGAAGATTACGGCCAAAATATATTCTCGGCACGACCAGCCCATCCTAGAAAGAAAAAAAAACCTGCATTAGATTATGCCGGGTAGAGAGAGGGCCTTCAGAGGCGGCCCATGTTGTGGCAAAGCCGTACAGTGATAGCTCTGGGCTAGACGCGCGTCTCATTGTGATTCAAAAAAAGTCCAACGGAATGGCCCCTGCGCGGATTTTTGTGGCTGTGGACTGCGCGCATGAGGGACGGGCCATGAATAACGAGTGAGGGCAGCCGGGGGCGCTTTGTGCTCATGTTTTGGAGAGTTGTGTTTTTTTTTTTTGGGGTTTTCCTACGAAAAAATGCGTGGCCGTTTTCGTCCAGGATTTGCAACGCCGCGCCTATATGTGAGTATGAACACGTGCGTTTGACATGTGCGAGGCAGCTGCGTGCTTGCGTGGCCCAAGTTAAGGCATGCGCGTGTCACTCGTGATCACAGGGTGCTTCAAAAAATGCTAACACTTATATGGGACTATCGTTTTAACTGAAAAAAAAACGGATAATACACTGTAACTTGATAACAAATGCAATGGCAATAACTTCAAAAAGTCAAAGAGTCTCAACTTGTTCGCCATCGTTTGTCAACGCGTGGCCTGGAATCTTCTCCAGGTGGTCTCCAGAGCCCGGAGGCAGCAGCATATTTCTTGTGGCGTTGTAGCAAATTCTCAGAAGTGTTCACGCATTTTTAAGCACGCTGTATTTTACCATGGGGGGCGGCGACGCGGTGGTTACGGCCAACTTCGGCAGCAAATAGCTGAAGCGGCACGTACGGTGCGAACGAAATTCAACATAAGCTGCATGCATACAGGTCGACTGTGCCTTAAATGAGGACCTGGTGCAGCGTGTAAACGTGAGCATTGGGGAGACAAATGCGGCCGGGCGTGCTGCTGATCACCCACCTCCGCGTGTGCTGGCTGGCCTTCATAGGTGCTCGCTGACAGCACTTACCCCAAGAGTATGTGTCGGCTATAGGGGGGACCGTTGTGTCTATTTTACCACTGCTATACAAAGGGGCCGTCCATAAATGACGTCACGCGATTTTGGACGATTTTTTAACCCCCCCCCCCCCCCCATCGTCACACGGCGTCACAAAAATTCAGACCCCCCCCCTCAAATATGACGTCACAAAGCTCTGCCCCCCCCCCCCCAAAAAAATGAAATATGCTTCAAATCGCTTTAAACTATTGCCATTTTAGTGCGTATTTAATGTGGCGCTGCATTCTGATGTTGTAGGAGAAAACATGTATTAAAAATCTATTTAATTAAGTAGAACGTGTTGTCTATATTTATTTAAAGTTGCGGATTTTGATGTGACGTCACATTTCTCAAACCCCCCCCATCGTCACAAATGTCTGACCCCCCCCCCCCCTAGGTGCGTGACGTCATTTATGGATGGCCCCAAAGCGCACATGCTGCGGAGTGGGAACGCTGTTGTTATATCCGCGGGGTAGTCAGGATGAGTAATGATGCAGCGTTCATCGATTTAACTCTAATCACTCTCTCACTGGCGGTCAGTCACCACCTTATCGATCTGATATCGCCACTACCGTCGTTGCTGCTGGATTCCTCCGCCCCGGTGTCGAGGAGTCGTGTCAACCTCGTCTCATCCATCGAGTGTTCGACCACTGAGCCGGTTACATCACTTCTCGTTTCTCATCCTTCGCCCTCCGCACCGCTCGACTTTCCAATTCCCTCCCGCCCTCTGCGCCGTGTGTCAAGCTCTGACTACACCCTTGCGCGACGCGAGAAAAGGGTGCACTGTCGTTCGACTTATTGCAGCCTCGTTCAGTTTGCCTTTGTTGTTGGCCACCTTTTTGCGTGCGTTTTTTTTTAGGCTGTTGGGCCCGCGCTCCTGTTCTGTCTCGCGCGCTTCAATGGGTGCTCGCAAACAGGCAGCTTTGTCCTCGGTGCGTGCGCGCAAGGCCGGCTAACCGACTTGGAGGATGTGCATTATGTATTTGTATTGGTCAATTCTGCGCATTATGTATTTGTATTGGTCAATTCTGCGCATTATGTATTTGTATTGGTCAATTCTGCACGAGCGCCAAACGCGTGCCCGAGCGCGCGTTTGGCAGCGGCGGCGAGACGCGGACGGGGGAGGAAATCAATCGTGGGAGAGGGGACCTGGCCGAGAGGCTGGCCGTGGTTATCTGACACCAGATAATCCCTCGCTGGGGTTCTCTCCAGGGGACGGGACATGCATGCCGCAGTTCTGCGCATTCACGTAGGATTTTGCCAAAACAACATTTGCGTTGGTGGATAGCGAGGTGAGCGGGGATGGCGGTGGTGGTGGGGGTGCGCGCAGGACAGCACTGGATTGTTGAATTCGTCTGTGGAGAGCTTGGAGCGATTGTAGAGCGCGGTGGGGTTTTTTTCCCTATGGATAATGTCGGCGTTGACGCATCAGCTGCTCAATGGATCCCTGACTTGTCGTCGCTCTTCGGGGTTGTGCCGCGTGTTGTCCGGCGCGACGTCCGACGTTCCGCCGCCACGTGGAGAGAAACGTCAGACATCGTGGGAAGGGATGGAGGATTTATATGCCAGTGACGAACATATGCGGTGCAGAAAAATCGCAGATACAACATTTCCCACGTCACATAAACACAAACCGACCCACGCGCACACACACACAGACACAGACAAAGATCCCCCGTGTAGCCTTTAACGGACCGTTGGGGCAAGTGCTGTGAGCGAGCATTTATGAAGGTGGGCAGGGTACACGAGGAGGTTGGTGGCCAGCACCACAACCAACTCCTTTGTCTCCCCAGTTCTGATGTGTACACTTAAACATTAGTACATGGTACAGTGTGTACATATATATAGAGTACATAAATACAAATTCACATTCTACAACAACAACCGTTCACCACTAGGTGACAGTAACGTCAGCACAGCACTCGTGCCAGGCTAGGTGTACTTTGAGGTTGCTTTGGGCCACAACGGCGATGAGATGTTAACTCCCTCGCCTAGTATACAGGAGTTCTGTGTATTCTGAGTTTGCGTGTTCTCTCACTTGGTCACGTGGATTTCATCTCCAGGTTTTTCCACAAGATAAGCCACTTCGTTGAGCTTTACAGCTCAGTGGGCCTTACCTGGTCAAGTAGAAAAAAATAGTTCAGTTCTGAGTTTGAGATTTCGCTGAGTTTGAAACTGTTCAGCGAATGCGATGATCGCCTTACGTCCTGCACATTGAGTCGACTTCATACTCAATGTGTGCCTCCCGCTGCACGATCGTGCGTTTGTGTTTTTTTCTTCCAAGTCGGGAAGGTTTCTGAACTTCTTCGTTAAAAAAGTAAAAATCTTCCCGTCTGCTCAGAGTAATTTACGACACTTGTCTGACACCTAAATCCTCTAGCTTGAGGCGGGCTATTCATCACCAGACCCGACGGACATATTTAATCAATTTGCACAAATATTTTGGAAACAAACTTCCTCTATTTTTTTGTTTTTTTTACCGACACGAGGGAAGCACAATGCAGTAAAATATAATCATTCACAGGCCTTTGTCAATCCACTGCTGGATGAAGACAGTCCCGCGCTGTTGGTCGTTCGGGGGTCATTTGACCATACTTTACCACACTGGTCAGTGCGGGCTGCTGAAGAGAGGAGGAATCCGATGAGCTATAAAGCTCTTTTTTTTACAGATATCCAGTAGATATGACACGCTCGCCGATGTTAGCCGTTTTCAACAATTTCAACTCATTGCCACGTTGATAGCGCAGCGTGTGAAACACTGTGCCACCGACCTTCATTAAATACATCTCAAATTGTTTCCTAAATATTTTGGCCTGTGCGGAAGATAACAGAGGATTGAGCGCTTGGAGGTTATTGGAATGAGGTGTGAAATGTTGGCCTCACAATGCCCTCACCGTGACCTTGTTTTGTTATTTAAAGAATGCTTAAGTCCTGAGAACTTCAGAAATCCAGCAACCCTAATTACCCCACAGCTGTCTACTTACTGTCTTATCCACCAACCACCCAGGTCTCCCTGCCACTCCCACCGGGCTATCTCATTGTTCCGCTCTGTGCTTAAAGTGTGATTATCAGAATGCTCGTTGGCATGAGTGGCGTTTTTTTCTTACCCTGGCAGAGTTTGGCAGCTTATAGACGCCGCGATATAAGTAACCCCAGGCTGGCAGGGTAAACGAACGCATGGTGCAATGCGTAACAATCTGCGACTTGCTCCAAATACCATCCTCAAATATGAGGGGGGAACTCAATTTTGGCAGGGAATTCTGATACACACATGACGTGGTACATACAAGTTTAGCCGATTTGTGATTTATTAATTTGCACGTTTGGTTTGAATTATCGCCAATTAAATGTTGATCGCGAGCACTAAGTCAAAGGCAGGCGAGTGTAGAACTTCCGAGAAATTTCCTTTGGCCACATTTTAGTCAATATCCGGGCGATGTGTAGGGGGAGACGGGGGTGGGGGTTGAATGAGGGGAGAAGGGGCTGGCTTCACTGGAAGAGTCTTAGGAAAACAAAGACTTTTCGCTCCTCCCTCTCACTCCCTCGCTCCCCCCACCCCAATCCCCCACAACTCTCACATCACCAAACCCTCCAACCCCCCTCCGCACAAGCGTCCCCCCCCCCCCCCACCCACAAAACCAACCCCATCCCCTCTGGCAAGAGGCCACGCACGCATTTTTTGATGTCCCATCCAGAGCCGCCGCCGCCGCCACCACTCACCCAACAAGCCTCGGCACCTTTCGTTGCACGCGAGCACCGCTCGCTTTTGCCTCGATGTCAGAGGTGCGACGTTTTCTCCCGCACGGGGGCTGCGGTCGATGCCCCCCGGCTACGCCCTGGGCGCGCCAAATTCTCCGGGTGATTTTTTTTTTGCCGCCGAGGTGACGGCCGCAAGGGCCGTTCGATGACCTACGGCGGTTCTGCGGATCGGGGGTCAGATTGATCAGCGCTCCGCCACCCATACGGACTCCGTTGGCTGCCTTGAGTGAGGTCTTCACAGGTAGCTGTGTTTCTGATCTGCCTGCCGCATCGCAGAGGAAACGCGCCGCCGGATGCAATCGCTGACCGCGTGCCTCCTAATGATCTGGGATTTTAAAGGCGGTATCCGTGGACGACTCTGGAGGAGGAGTAGGAGGCAGAGACTGTGAGTGTGTCGCTGGGAAGGAGATCTGGCAGGAGGTTGGCCGGTCGGCATGCAAGCCACATCCAGCGGGTCGCGCGCGTCCGGAGAATTTGTCCGGTTCTTGACGTGCGGTTCTGGAGGAAGATGCTCGGCGCTCGAAGTCCGGCTGCAAGGAGAGGCCACCGACTGAAGCATGGCAGCTTGGCAGACGCACCTTCGCAGGTAGGAGGGGGGGGGTGTGCGCATGTTGTTTGCCTGTCATCGCTCAACAGTTTGTAACAAAAAATAACACAGCAACATCCACTCGAAAAATAATATGAAATAGCCGAATGACTTCACCGCGGCTGTCTCCATCGGAGATGTCGAGATGCGCTCCGTGATGTCACTGTGCGTCTGTGAAGTGTTTTAGAAATACGATCGTCGTCAATCAAACAGCCAACAGCCATGTGACCATGTGATGCTAAATTAGCCACGATCACATACATTTACTGTTATTCTCATTCTAACTAACATGCTACTGCGTGGGTATTCACTGCTGGCCTGTGTAGCTCTCCGATGCGTTCTCGGGTTGTACCACGTGTTGTTCGGTACAATGTCCGACGTTTCTGTTCACGCGCTCGGAGCTTATCCAGGAACTGAATTTTCTTCAGTCACTGAGTTAACGGCCACCATCTTTGAATATTAATCGTCGAACTGAATTCAGTCGCCGAAGAAGTTCACAGGCGGGTGCCACGGTGGCTAGGAGATGTTAACTACCTCGCCTGGTGTACAGGAGGTCGCGGGTTCGATCCCGACCCTGACGCCCGCTGCTGTATATTTGGAGTTTGCGTGTCTCTCTCATCATCATCACGGTGGCTAGGAGATGTTAACTACCTCGCCTGGTATGCAGGAGGTCGCGGGTTCGATCCCGACTCTGACGCCCGCTGTATATTTGGAGTTTGCGTGTCTCTCTCTCTCATCATCATCACGGTGGCTAGGAGATGTTAACTACCTCGCCTGGTGTACAGGAGGTCGCGGGTTCGATCCCGACCCTGACGCCCGCTGCTGTATATTTGGAGTTTGCGTGTCTCTCCCTGTGGTCGCGTGGATTTTTCTCCGGGCCCTTTGGTTTTTCCCTCCACGTTTAGAGTATTTGGCTGCTATACATTCCCGCATGATAAGCCACTTCATAATTTGTGACCAGGTCGCTTCTGAACAAAAGAACTACGTAGCTCAGTGGGCCTTACCTGGTAAATTAAGTGAATTTAAATGCACGAGGAACGAAACTTCGGGCATCATTCGAAAATAGTTCGTGGGTACGACCAAAAGACATCAGACAGCTTTGATCATCATCGTCGGCGGTAATGCCCACCCCCCCCCCCCCAATTTATCGCGGGCATCACGAACGGGTCACATTGGAGTGGTTAAGAAGCCTGCCGCCCAGCAAAGAAAAAAGACACCACCAGCACCCCCACCCCCCCCCCACTCCTCATCGAGCTCCTCTCACCCCGAACGCCCAACGCATCCCTTCCTCTACCCCCTTACCCCCTCACCCCACTTCCCGTGCCACATGGGCCCGATGAGTTTTCCAGAACGCGTTCCAATCGGTTCTCCCCCCCCCCCCCGCCCGTAACACCGCAACTCTTAACCACAGCGATACGTTTGCCTTGCCGCACGCACAACGTCGATGCCTTTCAAATTTAGGCAACGGCTGCGCGCACGTGCGGATGAAGGACAGGGGCGGTCCTTAGATCATCATCATCATCGTCGCTGCCGAGTTATCATCAGCATTATGAATCGGTCAAGGAATGAACTCGAAACGTTTGCTTGTGATAGACGATGAACTTCTTGGAAACTCGGAATGGATGAAGCAGATGCCACTTGGGTCAGTCGAGGATTGTCCGTGGCACTGTGTAGCCTATCAAGGTCCTCGCAGCACACGAAGTGGTGGGTCGGCAACACCATACCTGGCAGCTCCCCAGAAGTGATACCACACCGGGTCCTCATTTGACGCTGAGTCAATCTAATGGGAGGCCCAGGACAGAACTCGGGTTGCCGGGTTCATGGCGCGGCGCGTTAACCACTGCACTACCGCTCCCCACACGCCCACCATGCCAACCATAACTACCTCTCTCTCTGTCTGTCTCTCCACAGCTCTCTCCACTGCCCGCTTATCTCTTCACACCTCCCGGAGGAGTGGATCCGCAGCGCGTGAGTTCTCGGCCTCCCCAACAGCAGCAGAAACTCGCTGCAAATCAGCAGGTGGGTGCAGAAGGAACGCGCTGTCTGGGCGCTATTCAGGATGTTGTGCAGCATTTGTGACACCGCGACAGAGGCTGCGATTTCGCCACGAGGGCCGTGGCAGGCCCAGGAAATCGCGAACCTGAATTACAAAAATCCTCGAAATATTGGGAAGTGGCTGCAGAAATCACATTTTTTTTCCTCTGCAAAAAACCATAATACCGTGCGGAATGCTCTGAAAAATACTGCACGCCAGCCATGGACGAGGGGGAAGAGGGCAGGATGGGCCTTCCCGAAACAAACCGAATGCCCCACATATTTAGATTATTTTTAATCAGTTCCGATATAACAATTTATTAATAAAAAATAATTCAGGTAATGTTTAGGTCTGGCACCGCTCCACCTTAGTCCGTCACTTTTCCATGAATCCAGTTTTCTTCTCCACGCACAACGGCCGTGAATTTTGCAACAACAACAACAACAAAAAGATCGAGACAAAACCGTGGCCTTGACCGTTATAGTTCTACGGCTCCCGCCGGTAAAGCTGTTGGGCAGCGTGGCTGCGAAGCGTTGTTGAGCGGCAGTCATCGTACAGAGTGTGCTTGTTAATCTTTGCGATATCCAGCGACGACACGAGGCTCAAGCGAGCCATGCAAATGCTCAGAGCCCCCGGGTGGCTCAAGGGGGTCCCGGATTCATGAAAAATTATTTTTGTGGTGAACCAAATATCGGCTCAAATTCAAATTGAGCTGATATTTGGTTTACTTCTATTACAAAGCGAAGTACTGTAATATTAAAAGCAGCTAATTAGTCTATCTTATCCTCATCTTGACTGTATCTCGCTTCTGTCTTCTAACTCCAAGTGTGTCTTTTGACTATATTTGTTCTTCATTATCTGACATTTGTGCTCACATAACAAGTCCATACCCTTGATTATATCTCACGGGGAGCTTATAAATCAAAACTTGGGGGGGGGGGGATCCAAAACAAATTTCTGTCCGGTAATATCCATTCATTCCTCACCACCGCACCTCCGATTAGCACGGTTGTCCACGTACGGTGCGAAAGAAGTTCACCAAACTTACGTACACACATACCACCGTTGGTTACGTCCACCCCCGCAAACAGCACGCTTCTAGATGCAAGAGTCCATGGTTCAGTGGATGTGGCACTGAGGGGCCTTAAGTGAGGACAAAGTCCACAGCCCTGAAACCCGAGGAGACTGAAAAAGCCAGAGGCAACTCTCCTGCGTCTGTCACGTCGTGAACTTTTAGGAAGAGGGTTAAGTGATCTCAACTCCGCTCAATGGTGGTACTTAGCCGTGCCACTGCACGTGTGCCAAACGGTTCTCTGGCTTGCTTTGACGGTGCGTGCGCGAGCGCTCGGAGTGTATTGTTCCATACGTAAGTAACAGCCGTTTTGGTTTCATCGTTTGAATACATGTCTGGACATTATGGCTTGTCGTTAACAACGTGTACCTTGTAATAATGTTGTCGTTGTTGTTGTCGTTGTTGTTACATGCCGAACCACTAATGGTCTCACGCAAACTCCCCCGTCGCTTCTTGCTTGGCCAAAAATGCGGCTAAAAAACAAAGTGTGAGCCATAGCTGCGGCACTTGTTGTTAAATGTGTCGAAGTGTTTTCTGAGTTCGTGGTGTTTCCCACTGATTTTCAATTCATTCAGATTCGAAATTTTAAAAACCAAATTGTAATCAGGCTAATTCGATCATTTAGTGTCGTTTATGAGTGTGTTGAGTTATTTTTTTCCTTTTATAGAGTACTTTTCTCTGCCATATGAATGTGGAATGTTCACCACTGGCTTAGACCTGCAAATAGGAAATAGGCGCTGCCCTACAACCACTTTATGAGAAAACCACTTTGACATGATGGACTAATTACTGAAGGGCTTTAGGTGGGAGCCGTCCGTGACCTTGCTAAAGTGTGTGCCTGATTCCGTGGGATTCACAGTCGCAGACAGCTTCGGCCGTAGAGAGTTGACAAGGCCGTCTGGGGCAATTTGCCCTGGGACTCAGATCCAGTGGGGGGGGGGGGGGGGCTCAGAAAAAAGCCAAGGCGGGGGGGAGATCAGAGGGAGCCTCATCTGGAATTTTGCCCCGGGCCTACAAAACCTTTTCGGCAGCACTGTCAGCATGAACGTAACCGGTCCCCTTAGCTTCACTAGACTCTGACACACCGAGATGAGACCAGCTTCTTGGGTTTACCGTGGTCATTGTTTGTTAATAGCTCATTGAGCACTGTAGGTATGGAACCAGACAGACCCACGCAGATATTCACGGTGAAAAGACGGAAAATATCTCCCTTGCCCTGTCCACGTAAGCTAGAGACCATTTACAATTCATACCTTCGTCATGTTAATTGTCCTATTCTATTCGGTAAAGTCACGTAGGTAAAAAATAAAACAACAAAAATCACGACGTTTCGGCCACAACACAAGCGGCCTTCATCAGGTGAAGGGACCAGACTGTCTCGAAGACAGCGCTGGAGTGAAACACAGCCAAGCTCAGACCGCGACCTTTAAGCTGTGTGAGAGTAATTAAGGTGCCTTGACAAAGGAATTAGCATAAAAATTTGCATTTTAATAGGCGGACTTAGCATGATGAAAGGTAGGGAGGGGGTCGACCTGTGCAGGCTGAAATTGTGTCTGTGTTTGTAGATCTGAATTGCCTTCAACCGAGAAGATGGTTTCAAATTAAGCAACCATTGGAAAGATGTTCTAAATCGAACCAAACATTAAACTAATTTTTCAATGGTACAGTATATTTTTCAAGTAGTGGTACCCCAAACTTTCACAGCTTAAAATCCCCTTTTCACACCACCAGCATGTGGACGCTGCCGTGCCCCCTCGCCAGCCTGCACAGGTCGACCCCCTCCCTACCTTTCATCATGCTAAGTCCGCCTATTAAAATGCAATTTTTTATGTTAATTCCTTTGTCAAGGCACCTTGATTCCTCTCACACAGCTTAAAGGTCGCGGTCTGAGCGTGGCTGTGTTCACTCCAGCGCTGTCCTCGAGACAGTCTGGTCCCTTCACCTGATGAAGGCCGCTTGTGTTGTGGTCGAAACGTCGTGATTTTTGTTGTTTTATTTTTTACCTACGTGACTTTACCGAATAGAACCAAAGAGTATGGATCCTTGCAGTCACGAAAGCTTCAAATCTAGAATTAATTGTCCTACCCATAAACTTATGTGTTCACGGTATGGGTACATAGACGCTCACAACAACGAGTGGAGCTCCGGACAGCTAAAACGCCGATAGTTGGCACAGTGGGGTGCACAGGTGGTGCATCTGCCAGCCATCTCGGTCAGTCGACCCATGGCACCTGGTTCTGTTCCGTGACCTCCTGCCAGCGGGCCTTCGACACTTCACTTTGCCTCAACGTGCAGTGTGCACCTAGCATGGCACTAGCGCCGTGGTGACGTGATCGCCACTTAGTGGTGAACGATGGTTGTTGTTGTTGTATATGTATCTTACTCTAAAACTCTGATGGTGTGTGGCTACTGCGTGAATACGATAAAAGTATCCAAATAATGTGGTGGACTGGTGGCGCGTTGGTTAGCGCACTGCACTGTGAACTTGGTGACCTGAGTTTAATTCCCGGTCGCCATGACTTACACCAGTGATGCGTGATCTATGAACGAGAATCAGAATTTTTAATTATAGTGGAGGAATCCAATGAGTTATGAAGCTATTTTTCACAGATGTCCAGTGAGGGGCGGGTAAGAACAGTACAACAACAAACAATAGGACAAACACGATTGCAGTGCAAAGTATTGGAAAGGTAAATAAATCACTTTTTACAAACAATATACAAATAAAACTAAACAATTATTATGTTACCAGTCCGAGGCAGCCCGACTATACCAACCCACACTGACCAGTGTGGCGAAGTCCACTCAAAAACCTCCAATGCAAAGAGGCCTTCATCCACCAGTGGATTTACAATGGGCTGTACATTCTGAATGTCGGGTTTTTTGTTTAAACATGGCAAAGATTCTTGAATCTGTACCCTCAATGTTAACCAAAGATCGGACACTAAAACTCACCCCTGAAGGTGGCTGTTTATATGACGATATTGAATTCTTACCATTGCACACGTGGAAACCCGTGCGCGTAATTGCACACTAATGTTATCCTAGCTTATCTCTAACATCTGTTTTTGTCAGTTTCCAGAAGAAAATTTTATTTACACAACCCTGGCTTACAACACCCTCACACCATATTTGATCTGCGCACTGCCAGCTGCCTTCAACTGAACTGTGAAATGTCAAAATGTACAAGAAAAAAAGCCACGATGGGTTGGGGGTGATACCCCTCCTGAATAAACTCTGAGAGAGCAGCTGCCAGCTTGCTGGGTTCTTTTTTTGCCTGTGAGACCCACACATTTTCACGCTCACACGCCGAACCCCGCGAATGTCACGCACGCGTGCTGTATGCGCGCGCGCGCGTGCGTGTGCATGCCCGTGCGTGCGTGCATCTGTGCGGTAGCGCTTGCCTAGCCGTTTAACGCACCGCGCCACGTTCCCCAGCGACCTCCGTTCGATTCCCGCTCACCGAAAATCCGAACCAGCCTTGGAATCTCCACGAGGTCAATTAACTGAGCCTCAAACGAGTACCCCGGGCGTCACGTAAACATCTGGGCGGCTCGCCGTGGCTTTGGCACACATCGCACCCGCTTTGTGCGCCGTGCATTGGCATTCCCGGGCGGTCGCCAGCAGCGCTCTGCCCCGACGGCCTGCATGGCCGCGACGGGGATCGTCGCGTGCGTCCGTGAACTTCCCGCGCGTGTGCCCGCAGGGCCCCGTGACGCGAGGCACCCCGGCGGCTCTCGAGAATGCGCCTGAAGCGACGGCGGCGCCTGCTCTGCCTCGCGTGCGTCCTCACGGCGCTCGTCCTCGTCAACATCATCGCGTCGCTGCCCGGCGGCAAGCCCCGAGCCCAGCGGCCGCTCGCCCGCGGCGAACGTGAGCGGCCGCCGCGGCACCGAGGGGGCGTCGCGCTGGGCGCGGGGGCCGAGCGCCAAGGAGGAGGCCACGCGGAGGTGCTGACGGAGCGGCGGCCGGGCCGGACCCACGACGGATCGCGACCGCGGGCGGTGAGAGGAGGCCGCCAGCGCTTCGGCGACGACAGCAGCGACGAGTGGCTGGCAGTCGACCCGGCGCGGAGGGACGAGGCGAAGGCGGCTGAGAGGAGCGCGGCAGGAGATGCCGTCGTAAACGGGCGAGCCGCCGAGGCGAGCCGCAAGCGGCGCGCGGGGCGAGTTGACGGTGCGAACGAGGCGCAGGAGGAGTCCAGCCTTGTGGAGCTCATCAAGGGGCAGGGCGGCTGGCTGGGAGAGCTCGGGGGAAAGTGGCTGGCAGGGAGATTCGGCCTCTTCCACGCCGGGCGTGAACCCGGTCCGCCGCTGAAAGGACCCGGAGAGCGCCGTGCACCTAGAAACGTGCCCCGCATTCCCAGCAAGGCTGCTCCTGAACCGGGCTCCGTCCCAGCGCCCGTGCCTGACCCGAGGCGCTGCGCTGCGCTGGGCCTCGCTTTCGACGGGTCCAGCGACGGCGGACCCCCGGACGCACCCGCCCCGCCTCCCTGGCTCTCCCGGGAAGATCTGAGGATCCTGAACCTGCTGTCCGGCGGCGCCGTGAGGCGCAAGGAGACCCTGCCGGGCCACGGGGCCGTGCTGAGGCTCACGATGGGAGCGGCGGGCGGGTCGGCGTCCGCAGGGCCCCTGCCGCCCGTGGAGGCGGGACGCGACTATTGCGCCGAGGGTGCGTGCGCGCTGGCCAAGCGCACGGGCGACTCGTACGAGGTGCTGGCCTTCCACCTGGACCGCGTGCTGGGGCTGGGACGCGCGCCGCCGGCCGTGTCGCGGAGGCTGGACAGCTGGCTGCTGCCGTACAGGTTCACGAATGGCACGGCGCGACCGCTCATCTGGTGGGTGCCGGACATTCTGCGTCTCAGCGACGGCGCCAGCGGTGGGTGCTACTTTGCTCGGGAACGCTCAACATTCATAATGGTCACAGCAGAATGTATGTACGTGTGTATGTTGAACTTCTTTCGCATCGTACTTAGCCAACCGTGCTCATCGGAGGTGCGGGGGGTGGGCAACAACACTACACACAAAGAGCCGATCTAAAGAAATTCGTTTTAAAGTGTTGTAGTGGTGGTACAGATAATCCAAAGTAGTGTCAAGCTCGGGCTGCCACCACAGCTGCTTTTCTCAGGATCATGCTCCTCTTTTTTGTCGAAAGGTTAGCTGTGATGGGAAATCTGTACGTCTACGGGGGTCTTTAAAAGTCCTGCTTATGGTCAGTTGCGTCATAACTATACACCACGACTCAAGTGTGCGCGCGTGCATCTGTGCGGTAGCGCTGGTCTAGCGGTTTAACGCACCGCGCCACGTTCCCCAGAGACCTCCGTTCGATTCCTGCTCACCGAAAATCTGAACCAGCCTTGGGTCTCCACGAGGTCAATTAACTCAACTTCAAATGAGTACCCCGTGCGTTACGTAAACCTCTTGGGGGCTCGGCGTGGCTTTGTCCACATCATTGGCATTTACAGGCGGTCGCCAGCAGCGCTTGACCAAACTTTGATAATCGGAGGTGCGGTGGAAGGACAACAAACCGAAACACAAAAATCAGTTCTAAAAAAAAATGTTTTTAAAGTGTTGTAGTGGTGGTACAGATAATCCAAAGTAATTTAATGCTCGGGTTGCCGCTACTGCTGCTTTTCTCAGGATCATCCTCTCTTTTTTAAAGCTCTCTGTGATGGGAAATCTGTGCATCTACGAGGAGGAGTGTTAAAAGTCCTGCTTATGGACAGTTGCGTCATAACAATACACCGCCAAAATTTTAATTTAAAGCGTTCGTGTTTCCCTTCAACGTGACTTTACCGAAAGAACCAAGAATATAATACACCGCCACTCAAGACGCTGCGTGTAGTTCTCCCCCTTCTCGTGGTGGTGTCTCGAGATATTAATTTTCCCACGACGTCCGGTACAAAGTTGACGGCATTCGTAGCGTCGCCTTCCGCATCGCGTCGTAGGCGACAGATTGTACGGCAGAGATGACAGCCACATTTGGAGCTCAATTGAGCACACTGCTCTGTGGAACCCAGTGACCTCCGTTTGATTCTCGGCCTCAGCTCGTGTCAATAGAGAACACTGTCCGAAACCTTTCCTGGGCCCCCACTAAAGTCAACTCCGCCTTGAGTGAGTACCCAGCGCCATGTGAAAACATCAGCACTGGGGAGACAAAGCCGGCCCGGTGTGGTACTGGCCAGAGCACCCCCTTGTGTAGCAACTGCAGGCCTCAACAGAAACTTAACATCTTTGCCAATAACAACTACCCTCAAAGGGACAATACACATATAATAGGTGACTTTTTTGCAACGGCCTTTCGTCATCATAGCAAATACAGATCCGTTGTGAAGTAGGACAACTGCACAACACATTAGCTCGGTTTTTTTTTCTTTAACAAAATTTCCTTTCAGGGCAGCGTTATAGCCCAGCGTACTGAGCGTTCTTGTTTTACTGTTGTTGCTCGCTAACGGGCGCTTGCCCCCAACAGTCCGCCCGTAAAGTCTGCGCCGCGAATCTTCGCTCCGTTCGCGTGCGCGCGTGCGTCTTTTGCCCGCGCAGAAGAGGGAGACGACCAGAACTCCTTTCGGCTCACGTGGCCGCAGTACCAGGCCGTCCTTCGCGGGGAGTGCCACGGCAGCCCCGGCGGTGGCGGCGGCGCGGCGAAGGGGGACGGCGCTGGCGGTGGCGGTGGAGGAGCCGCGGGGGTCTCCTGCCCCCCCGTGAGCCGTGCCGAGTGGGGGAGATTGGCCCTGTTTGACTTCCTCCTGCAGGTGAGGTGGCTTTCTTTTGCCAGGGGCGCTCTGGCTCGGCGCTCGATCTGGCACGCTGCGAATGCAGCCTGACTTGCAACGATTGCTTCGGTCAATCTTTTTCACACAAAAAAAAGGCCCTGGCTTTCAGGGGGTCTTTTTTTTCTTCCCCGCCAGCCCCCTCCTGCCATGCCAAGTCTAATAGGGCCTCTCCAGGGCTCAATTCGAACTGTGGAGCGAAATGAGTTGGCCTCGGGCTTTTAATGCGCGTTGACATCATCACACGCGAGACCGCAACACTTGACACGGATCGCATGGAAGGCCGTTAGCCACTTCAGTTAGCCGCCGAGGGGAGCGGCCGACACGAGCTCCCTGTGAAACGAAAAAAGACGTGTGGCCGCATTGTGGCATTTAAATTCATACGCCCCCTCTCGCCTCCTTTGTCTTTTCTCCCCACCCCTTTGCTCCCTCATCTTCTCGCTGCCTCTCATCCGCTGCCTCTCCTCTCTCCTCATTCTTCCGTGACCATCTCTCGTAGCCTTCGGACGCCCTCCCGGGTAAATATAGCGCGCCCTTCTCATTTGCACCCGCAGTGCTATTTTTTGATGCGTTAAGTCGCGTGGCAATGCCTCTCTAGCGAGGTTAGTTTAGGCGAGCGCAGCGTGAATGTTTAATTTTAAAAAAACCCAGCAAATACAGCTTTTCTGGCATTTAACCCAGATTTAAATTGGTAACAACAGCAACAACAACAAAAATAAAATTACTCGCTTGGAAAAATCATAACAACAGAACATTTGCAAAGTAAAAACAAGGATGTGTGAATTGCGTACGAGTCTTAAAAGGGGGAGCACGGAGAAGCCCCGGAGTTTTTGTGACAGCGTTGGGGATTGTCGCCACTGTCATTATCCGCAACAAGCAACAGTGCACCTTCGATTAGTACGGTGCAAAAGAAGTTCAACATTTACATTTTTGACATTTGATTTTTCCAGGTAATGCCCACTGAGCTATAGAGCTCTTTTTGAGAAGCGACCTGGCCACGGGTGATAGCTCAACGAAGTGGCTTATCGCGTGGAAAGTTAAAGTTATACTCCAAAACGCGTGTTTCTAAATGTGGAGGGGAAAAACACTGGAGGACCCGGATAAAAATCCACGCGACCATGGGCAGAAAGAAAGACACGCAAACTCCAAATAACCTGCCAACACCGCACGGAGACCAGACGCAGTCGCGCAGGACCTGGCTGTGGGCCTCTTGCTGTTTTTTTTGTACACGCAAAGGGCTGCTCGTTATGCACCAGTAAACGTTTTATCAAATTAAATGCACAATGCGTGCAAGTAAATTGAAAACTCATACTTTTTTAAGAACCGATTTTTTTGTGTTGCGTGTGTTTAGTTTGTTATACCCGCCACCGCGCATCCGATGAGCATGGTTGGCTACGTACGGCGCGAAAGAAGTCCAACATACACATACGTACAAGTAAAATGGTAAAAGGTAAAGGTGCAGGCACTGTATTTGCTTGTTCATGCCACTGCTGGTGGAAGGGCCTCCAGTAAAATGGAGCTCTCGAGAGCCCCTCTACGAGAAGGTATTTGCCTCCTCTTCCATGCTGTACAGACGTATTGGAAGAGGTAGGATTCACCCACACAGTACCCCATAGGGAGTGATCATGAAAGTAATTGAATGATGATGATAAATGTGGGATTTAAGCACAAGGCGCCATCTTGCTTGGTATTTACAGTGGCTAGAACTTGAGGTTTACATTCAAGCAGCCCACAAGACGGACTAGAGGAGCACAATGCACTTGTTAAGGAACCGCTGATAGTTTTTGCACAATGGATGAGTGCTCGATACGAGTTTCTGTGTGTGACTTCAAAATTCGCGGGTTTCCTGCCTGCGCTGTGCTTCCTGTCGCTATGGTTTTTTCCCCTTATAATTGACAGATTTGAGCACATTCACACATTGCACATCCGACTTCAGCATTCACACCTGGAGCGGGCCTCACTTTGAGCCATCTCAGCCTTACGTAAGGCTTCGCCTCATCCTCCAACATGGCATTCCTCCTCGTGCGAAACACCAATTGTAAACAAGCCGTTAATATTCGCTTGCTTTTGGCACGTCCGACATACATGAAACCTCTGCAGGACCTGGTAACAGCTGTGCTGCATTAAATCCCTTGCTCTATAATAATAACAATAATAATCATTCAAGAAGAAGGCAACCATGCGTGCAGTTAATAAATCACCTTGCGTCAAACAAGCTGACGCTATCAGCCCCCCTCGGAGTTTGCGTCGTTTTAAGAACTCCACAAGTCTTCGAGTGTGTTTTGCGTTACACGCGCCTCGTACATAATTCCCTGTGCGAGGAATTTTTCAGGACAAAAAGATCCCCCCCTACACCCCGTATAACCTTAACATACTGTTGGGCCAAGTGCTATTAGCGAGTAGCACCTATAAAGGTCGGAACGGCACTCGAGGGGGTGAGCGGCCAACACCACGCCCCGGCCGCCTTTGTCTTCCCAGTGGCGATGTTTACACATCGCACCAAGTACTCATTTGAGGCTGAGTCGACCTAGGGGAGGCATAGGAACAGTGCAGATAATCGTCACCGGTGTTGGCCGTGAGCGGGAATCGAACACGGGTGGCGTGCACACACACACGGACACACACAGACACACACAGACACACACATGCACACACGTACACACACACGTACACACACACAGGCACACACACAGGCACACACACGCACACACACGCGTTAGGTTGGAGTAAACTTTGGCCGTGGTGGCCCTTCGATGTTCTAGTGACGACTGCCAGGCCCCGCCCCCTCCGCGTGTTGCCTCCACGTGGAGACTTCGATCGGCGTGGACCCAGGAGCGTGCCGCGTTTTCACCGCGGCGTAAATGCCTTTGTTTAATCACATTCATTTCCCTCAGTCTGGGGGATGGGGGATTGAGTTCTTGGACCGCTATTTTACACCCAGACGAGAGCTCGATGCAGGAGTTCATATTTAATGCCAACTGAACCAGGGTCTATGCCAGGAATGTTTTTTTTTAAGCAGAGACAATCCCTTTAGGCTATCTTTTAGCGTTGTTCATGTTTTAACGATGTATGCCCCCTATTTTCTGGCTGGTTTGTGTCCGCCTGCCTCCCTGTGCACCCTTCATCCGATGCTCCATCGGCACTCAGAATTAGAAAGTCCTTTTCTTGGTGGTGATGCTTCTTTAAGGGGCCGTTCATAAATGACGTCACGCACTTAGGGGGGGGTCAGACATTTGTGACGATGTGTGACGAGGGGGGGGGGTTGAGAAATGTGACGTCACATCAAAATCTGCAACTTTAAATAAATACAGACAACATGTTCTACTTAATTAAATAGACTTTTTAATAAATGTTTACTCCTACAACATCAGAGTGCAGCGCCACATTAAATACGCACTACAATGACAATAGTTTAAAGCGATTTGAAGCATGTTTTATTTGGGGGGGGACAGAGCTTTGTGACGTCATATTTGAGGGGGGTCTGACTTTTTGTGACGCCGTGTAACTAGGGGGGGGGAGGGGGTCAAAAATCGTCCAAAATCGCGTGACGTCATTTATGGACGGCCCCTAAGTGGGGTAGAAGTCGTGTGGAGGCCGCCACGGTGGCGAGATTTTAACTACCTCGCCTGGTCCACACGAGGTCGTGGGTTTGATCGTGACTCTGACACCTGTATATATGGAGTGTGCGTGTCTCTCTGCCCGTGGTCGCGTGGATTTTTCTCCGGGTCCTCCGGTTTTCCCCTCCACATTTAGAATCAACGTCATGCGTTTAGAGTATTTGGCTTCTATAAATGTCCACGTGATGAGCCACTTCGTTGAGCTATCATTTGTGTTGGCCAGGCCGCTTTTGAGAAAGAGCTATGTAGCTCAGTGGGCCTTACCTGGTAAAAAAAAAAATAGTTACAGCTTTTCAGCAACAAATCGACTTCAACACCGCTATTTCTATTCAATTTAGTTTACTACTGAAACAGGGCAGTAGTTATTCTCTCTCTCTTTTTTCCTCCTGATGATGACCGTATTTATAAGTCGTTAAATCCATCTCTTTACTGACATCTCGTTCGAATGACACTATTTCAATAACAGACTAATTATATTTAAAACAAAATTTGACGCGAACGAGACCGCAGCTTTGACAGGTTGACAATCTGCAATGCTCCACAGTAATTACACTTCAACGTGACGAAGTCTACCCAGCTCAGCGGTAAACAAAAATATATTAAGCCCGGCGAGGTGCCGAAGAAGGGGAAGCCAAAGGAAGCACCACGAACACGACGAGGGAGAGCCCCGGTTTCTCCCGCCAGGTTTACGACCGGCTGGACCGCGGCTGCTGCGGTTTCATCCCCGACCCCAGGGACTCGTGCGTGGAGCAGGGATTCATCGATAAGTGCAGCAGACCGGAGCACCAGCGGCTCGTGCACGTGGTGGTGAGCGCAACTCGCCAAAGCCCCTCGGCGCCGGGCAGACACGGGTGGCTGGTGATGCGTACATGTCAACCCCCCTTTTTTTGTTTTCAGTGCCCTACCTAATTACAAACAAATTAAATCGGTCACCCCGTGCCCCTTCAAAATCCCAACGTTCATCCTACAAAGTCCCGTCACAAGGTATAAACACAAACAAATAAAAAAAGGTTTTACCCGTATTGAAACGGATTTATGCCGTATGGAACTGAAAACTAAATTCCCCTGTACAGGAATACGTGGTGAACCACGTGGGTTGACACGGTATGGGGATGTGATGATGCACAGCATCACCGCTCTTTTGCCACTTCCTACGGCGAGCCAGCCTCTATTTAATAACCTCTCCCTAACAGCGCTTGCCCCAACCGTCCGTAAGACGACAAAGAGCAACTTCGCCTTTGCACGCGCACGTGTCTGCGTGTGCGCGTTTACCTAGCCTGGCAAACGATGCCCCCCCCCTCCCCCACCCCTGCTGTCTACGGCGTGTGGATGATGTGAGCGCAGGTCCGGCAGTCGAACCCCAGCCGCCTGGTGTTCATCGATAACGCTGGTCGTCCCTTCCAAGGGGAGGACAACCTCAACTTCCGAATGCTGCAAGGGATCACGCAGTAAGTCCGTGGCGCGCGCGCACACACACACACACGGGCGTCGGGGTGGACAGGGTGTAGCTACGTAGACTGTTGGGAACTTGTGCAGTTAGGGGACAACTTTTAAGGCCGGCAACAGCGAGGCGGGGTGGGGGGGGGGTGTTGTGGCCAGAATAATGCCCAGCCGCCTTTGTCTCTCGAGTGCCGATGCTGAAGCATCGCTCCAGGTCCTCGTGTAAGACCGAGTCGGCCGAGTGTAGAGGCTCAGAGCCAGTTTAAATATTCGTCACTGATGTTGGCCATGAGAGAGAATTCTAACACGGGTAGCCAGGCTCTTCAGCGCGCTACAGCGGTAACCACTACACCACCGCTCCACCCAACGTATCAACAACAATAGCCAGGCTAGGTGCACTTGAGACCACGTCAAATGTCCACAACGCTGACAGGAGATCATGGGACAGACCCAGGTGCCATGGTTCATCTGAATGGGATGACTGGCAGATGCACCACCCGTGCCCTCTACTCTCGATCTGCTGCGTTTTAGACGCCCGGCGCTCCGCTCGCTGTTGTGAGCATCACTTCTCCATCCTCCG